GAAATTAAAACTAAGCTATAAAGTTTAACGCTTCTAGATCTTATATACCTAGAAAGAGAAATAAGAAAGTATTTATACGTTTTATATATCTTATACTAGAGGTATAAAGGTACTTAGATATTATATATATATCTTATTACTCTCTAAAAGCTCTATATAAAAGTAGAGAGTAAAAAGAGCTATAACTATAGAAAAATAGCTATAAATATCTAAGAACTTAAAGTATTTAAAGCTATTTCTAAAATAAAGCTATAAGATAGTAATATATAGTAGTTTATAACTCTAAATCTAATATATAATAGATATTCTAAGTAGGTAGAAAAGTCTTATAAAAAAAGTTTATAAAGAAAAGTCTTATACGCGTATATACACTAGACTCTTATCTATAGTTAAAAAGTAAAAAAGTCTATATTTAGCTTTCTCTTTTTTCTTATTCTTTTTATTCTCTATATCTTCTATATCTTCTAGATCTACCTTTATATCTATTTCTTAATTAAAACACTAGCTTATAATAATAAGAATAATAATAATAACACTAATATATTAGACTACTTTCTAATACACCTTCTAATCTACTCTCTAGGTTTACTTATAGTATTGCTTACTAGATCTTAGAGTATCTTAATAATATTTTTTATAGTAGTATAAATAGAATAGTATTATTCTATTCTTACTTTAATCTATACGTAGGTAATAGTAAGCTTAACTTCTATTTTAAGTAACTTTTATATATTCTTAAGAGTTATATATTCTAGGTTTTAATAATATTTCTAAACTTTATTATTAAATAAAAAATCTATATATATAGAATTATCTTCTAAAGTTTTATCTTAATTAATTACTAGAAATATATATAAAGGCGTAGTAGTATCTTATAAAGTAGTAGTGTTTATAAGTTTAATAAGCTTTAGTTAATAGAGACTATTATTTTCTAGCGTAATTATAATAGTTTTATTAGTTTTAGCGTACTAGAATTAAAAGATAGATTTATTTACTAATTTATTAATCTTTTACTTTGTAATCTATAAAACTAATACTAAACTATAAATAGTATCTAGTAAGTATATAACGTTAGACAGAGTAATATAGTTCTAAGTTCTATTATCTAGATTAATATCTAAGTATACTATACTAATTCTAACTATTTCTAATATAGTGTTAGTGTTAGTAATTTATATAGATCTTAGTTTAATATTATTTAAGTTTATAAATTAGTTTTAATTATTATATAAATATATACTAGCTCTAGAGTTAATAACCTATTTATTTATTAATAAGTTATCTTTCTTAAGTATAAGTATAGCTTCTATAACTATATTTATCTTTATAGGTATATAATCTCTTAGTACTATTTCTCTCTTATTTCTATACTTTATATTAATACTAACCTTTTAAAAGTTAGTTAAAAAGTAAGAATAGAGAGTAGATTATATACTAGATTAATTATAATTCTAATAATAGTTAAGCTAGTCTAAGAAGTAACTATTAATATAGTAGTCTTAGTAGTAATTAATAGTAACTAGTTTATTATTATTATAGTTATCTAAGACCTCTAAGCGCTCTAATTAGCTACTTTAATTTTTACTATAATTCTTAGCACTATTATAAGTAATCTTATCTATAGTAAATTAAGCTTTTACTTAGTTTAGGTTATCTAGATAGTTAGATAAGTAATAGTTAGTGTAGAAGCTTTAGACTTTTATAATCTTAGTAATCTTAGTAGAGTAAAATATAAAACTAATTTATTTATTAAATATCTTATTCTAGTTTTTTTATTTATTTACTTTATTCTTTAGCTTTATCTAATCTAGTTTAAGTTCTAGATACTTAATAAAGTACTTATTTTAAAAGTAATTATATTCTTTATATTCTTATATAAAGTATTTTTTATTTTAATTCTTCTTATTATAATAATCTTTATTATTCTTCTTATTATTAGGCTTTTGTTTCTTCTAATCTTTCTTATTTTAATAGATATTAATTTTAGCGTTTTAAAGTTGTTATTTAATATTATTAAGGTAAAGCTATTTAATATCTTATCTATTATATAGTATATTTATAAATTAAATAGTTTTATTAAACTCTAGAGTAAAAGAATAGAAAATCTTAGCTTAAAGAGCACTTATATTATATATACTCTCTAGTTCTTAAAAATAGATAATATTCTCTTCTAGCTAACTAAAGAAGTTATTAAGGTTTTTATAGTTCTTTAGATAAAGTAATTTAATAGTTTTATAAAAAATTTACTTATTTTAGTAGTTACTAAGTTAATATTATTTCTTAAAGTATATCTAGATATCTATAGAATTAGTATTACTTTATTAAATATACTAGTATAGAAATATAGGTACAACGTAGTTAAGTAATATAGTATATAATTATAATATAGGTATATTTTCTAAATATCTTATTTTATAGTATATAGTAGTATATATTCTTTTAAAGATTCTAGAAATTAAAACTAAGCTATAAAGTTTAATACTCTTAAACCTTATATAAAAGTATAAAGGTAAGAAGCTAGAATTTAGTCTAGATTTTATAGAGAAAAAAAGTATATAAGTATTCTACGCGCTCTATATACCTCTAGAAAGATATTTAGAAGTTATATATATATTTTATTACTTTCTAAAAGCTTTATATAAAAGTATAAAGTAAAGAAAGCTATAACTATAAAGAAATAGCTATAAATATTTAAGAACTTAAATACATTTAAAGCTATTTCTAAAATAAGGCTATAAGATAAGAATAAAGCTATTATAGTAAAGTGTTAATATAAAGTAGAGTAATAAAACGTAGTTAGTAACTCTATATAGTAATCTTATTATAGGTATATTTTCTAAATATCTTATACTTACTATATATAACTATAGAATTTAATAAAACTTTTTCTCTAATATTTACTATAGATGTAGTGCTTTAACAACGCTAATAACGTACTTATAGAGAGTAATAGTAATAGAGGCTTCTCTAGTAGACTAAGAATAAAGCTATAAGGTAGTAAGATAGTAAGATATAGTAGTTTATAACTCTAAATTCTATATATAATAACTTTAAATTTATTATATAATAGCTATTCTAATAAAGAGTCTTATATATATAATTATACTAGACTCTTTAGTAGTTATAGAAAAGTAAAAACTTCTACTCTTTTCTCTTTCTCTCTTCTCTTATCTTTTTTATTTTTTATATTTTCTATATCTTCTAAATCTTTCTTTATATCTATCTTTCTAACTATAATATACTATAATTATATATTAGATAACTTTATAACTTCTTATATCTCTAAAATATATAAGTACTATATACTATTTATAGTGCTAGCTATAGTAGCTTATAAATATAGAAGTAGTAAGTTTAACCTTATAGAGTATATATTAGTAGACTAGTAGTATAAAATAATTATAGATAAGACTACTATATACACTAGGCTAGTTTATAAATTTAATATTCTTAATACTATATAACGCTACGTATCTAATACTATATTTAGAATCTATATTACTACCTTAGAATCTATTACTATAATAGTAAGTAGTAGTAGTTCTCTAAAGTATATAGACTTTACTAGTCTATAGTATTTTTATTAGCTAAACCTTATTAAGGCTTTACGCTATAGCTTACTTTTTTAAGTTTAAACTAACTTTATAAATAATATTATATAATTAAATAAATATAAAGCTTAAATACTATAAGTTCTTACTATAGTAGAGAATCTTCTTAATATAAAGGCGCTTTAAACTACTTTTATAGCTATACTTATAGCTTTTATATAAGCTAGTAATTAATAATAATAATAACTATAAACTTATAATTAAGCTAATAATATAAGTAAGATAGATAATTTAGATAATAGAGTAATACTAATAGCTTATTAATAAGCTTATAGTAGAATATATAACTAGCCTAATAAACTATAGATATATTTAAAATCTTTCTAAAGTATTTAGACTAGTATATTAGAGTAGAGAATATATAGCTCTTTTATAGCACTATAGATATATTACTACTAATTCTAGAATTTTCTTAAGCCTTTAAGTAATTATAACTATAATAGAAGTAGTAGTAGTACTTACTTTTAAGAGAGACTATATATAATATAGTAGTACTACTAGGTATTATTTATATATTATTAGTAGTAATAAATAAGTTAATATAGATTATAAGTCTTTATTATAAATATATAAGAAAGAAAAGTATAAGTAGATAGTAAGAGGCGTTTAAGTTTAGACTTAGTTTTAATAGCTTAAAAGTTTATTTATTAGTTATAATATAGTATAATATTATAAGATATAATATAGTAGGCTCTATCTCTAAGGCCTAGAGAGAAATAAAATTAGTATACTTATTTAAAACTAATTAGATAGAGTCTAAGATATAAAGTTTAAGAAGTATAAGTACTTAATTAGTCTTTTTATTATATTTATTATAGTTATATAAAGCACTTTTATATTACTTTTTAGCTTCTTTAATTATAATATTTTAGTAGAACTTAGAGTTATTTTTATTAACTTCTACTTCTATAATAAAGTTTCTATACTTATCTAGAGTAGGTTAAGTATTAAGTTTAACTTTCTTATATATAGCTTATAAGTATATAAGAATATTAGATTTATTAATATTTATATTATTACTATTAAAAATATTCTAGAGGTTAAGGTATTAGATAATAATCTTAATATTTTGTTTCTATTTAGTAAAGTTAGTTTATCTAATAAGCTTAGTAATCTTATATAAGAATACGTCTTTAATAGTAAGGTTAGTAGTAACCTTATTAAGAGAGTTTTTATTAGATATAATTAGTATAGTAGAAACTTCTAAGCTTATAATCTATTAAACTTAATAAATTAATATAAAATAAGATAATAAAGTAGAGTAAAGCTTTACCTCTCTTATATACTTAAGAAGTAGTATTTATATTTACTATAATATAAACCTACTCTCTAACTAGAAGCTTTTAGTTTTATCTAATAGTAGTAAACAACTAAGTTAATACCGCCTATCTAGTTCATGAACTGCGCGCCGTAGGCAAGCAACACACGACGTCCAGTCTGCACACGATCTTTCTTGAGAAGTTGCGACCACTTGTACTCCCTATGCTCTCTTTCGACCTGCAAAGCCTCGAGCACTTCTCTGTTCTCTTTCTCGATCTTTGGGTCATCAGGCGTGCCGTCGTATACGTCGCAAAGAATCTGAAGCGCCTCTTCGTGGCGTCCATGTGCATACAGATATCTGGGTGACTCAGGAAGGCCGAAAACCAGCACGATGACAATAATCGCAAAGATGACCTGGCAAGCAATCGGTAAACGCCATGCGATCGATCCTTCCGTAAACGACATTCCATAGTCGAACCAGTACGCCAGCTCGATCCCCACACCAACAAAAAGCGGTTCCGACGCGACGAGCCGACCCCGCTTATTCGCCTCGCAGAGTTCAGATTGATACATGGGCACAGTCGATGTCTCGATGCCCGTCCCAATTCCCGTCAGAAAACGCGCGACCATCATATGCGGCACCGAGTACGCACTCGCTTGAAGCGCGCCGCCGACCTATAATCATTAGCCGTCATGTCCATACCACCGCCCACATATCACCTACAATAATCCAAACCATAGCAATCCACATAGCCAGCCTCCGACCCGTCTTCTCGCAGAACATAAAGCTGAGGATACATCCTGTGAAGCAACCCAGATTGTATATCGACACGATGATGCCTTCAAGACCGGGTGAAGGGTGGTCGAAAGTGTTTAGGAAGTCTTCGTTGCCGACGATGCCGCTGAAGACGCCTTGGTCGTAGCCGAAGAGAACGAAGGCGAGCTGGCAGGCGATTGTTATGGCGGCGCGGAGTTTGAAGCCGCGGCCGTACCTGGATATCAGTGTAGGATGTTAGTGCTTGCCACGTTGGTTTGTATAGCATGTAGAGGCGTGACTTGCCAGTTGAAGTGTGGTGCGTGGAACATAGTTGGCAAAGGCTTCTCGCTGCTCTGCCGGAAGCAATTCGATGCGACGCACGATCAAGGCGATGAGATAGGCGGAGTGCGATCAGAACACCATGTGGGTGTACCCCATGTATCTATACCACCATCTTCATACCTCACCGCTCGCTACCCGGATCATATCACCCGAACACACGCAGCATGCTAGATCTGACCCCGACGGCAGAAAAGATGGTCAGTCGGCAAAATCGCCGTTATCACAAGCTGCCTGCGCGCATAACCGACGGAGTAATTGCGGGGCAAGGGTTGTTCAAGAGGTTCTGGCGAATGATTAAGACGCAATGGTGCCGTTGAAAGCCTTGCCGAGCTATTGGTGGCGTCGCTTGGTCGCGTAGAAATGCGTGTCTGGGGTAGGATGGGGTGATCTGCAGGTGCGGAGGTGGAGAAGGGGGATGACGTCGCGAGGAAGGCACGTTTTGGGGAAGCCGGTGATGATGCAGTAAGGGCGGCTGGTATGAGCATGCAGACTGAGATACAGCAGGAGCTTATTTGATCAAAGCGCGAGATTTCCATCCATCTGTCTCGATCAATACTGTAGAGCCTATAGCTGTGAATGCTGAAGTGATGCGAAGTCCAGGTGGCTGGTGTGCTTATCTCCGCGCCATCTCCGGAGCGATCCTGCCAAATCTCAGCCGTCACTCCATCCTCTCTTCTGCTTCCATCTCCATCCATCGATCTACTATGACCGATTGCAATTTCCCTGCAAGAACGAGGAGGTTGTCAATTAATGATGGCGGATACGGCTATAGGACATGAGCGGCACTCCTACACGATCAACATCAACTTAGACTGCGCATCGTAATAGTGGATAAACCTTTCTGGCGACCGCTGCTGAGACATGCCGTTAGACATGCGCCAGACATGAGGTACACCGACCCGATCTTTACCATTCTAGACTACCTGATCAAACGACCTTAACAAGCACGTGTGGATCTAGACCGATACAAGGAAAGCGCTCGATGCACAAACAATGGGGGGCTTCATAAAGTGAAACCTCTTGCTTCGCATTTCACGCTTCAGCCTGCGGAGGAGAAAGACCTTCTGGTGCCTTCCTTCAACGTTGCACCCGCAATTTATCAACCGGCTTCCAATTCGATAAACAGTCCAGCTTCAGACAATGAGTACACCAACTGTGGCGCCTCCAATGGGTACAACGACCAAGCATCCCACCTCTAATCAAGGTCATCTACAGTCTTTGATGGCCAAGGTTCGTAAGGAACTCCGACCACCAACACAGATAGAGACTTCATATGCAACCAATCTTACCCAGGCTGTCGAGAAGGAAGCTTGGAAAGAGTCTCAAGAAGTTCGCGACAGCATGTTGGGCCTCGCTCAAGAAGCTCGGAGGATGTTTGGTCTTCGACCGTTCGATATGTCATTGAATGGGGAGAATGAAGCCGATGGCAAAGAGATGGTTCTGCGGAACGGTGGGAAGCGACCAGCTTCCACGGCACCAGTCCCCAATCCATCAAAGCGGCAACAACGCGAGCCTATTCGACCACCGCCACCACCACATTGTGGCAAGATAGACCAGAAATCCGAGACTCTAGATCAATCCAGTCGTGTCCGTCACATCAGAGAGGAAAACACCGTCACCAACTCCCAAAATGGTCCACAAGGCCACGGCCATTCTCAATCGATCGAAAACCCATCCGCTACCAGCTTTCTCACGAGCAGCGCACCAATCTACAACCAAAACATCAACAGCGGGTCTGGTCAGCAGAACATCAACGTTTACGGCGTATTCGAACCTCCGCCACCCTCAGCTACCGGCGCCGCACCAACCGAGTACGAGATCCCTACCGAGCCAGAGCATCGCTTAAACCGAGAAGCTGGACAGCAGAAGTTCTCGATCAATGATACTGTTACCAACAAGACAGCCGGCGATGGTAAGTCCGGTGGTCACAATCAGACGTTGAAGGGCCCACACGGCAACACGCACATGCGCATGACAGCGCCAGTGTACAACCAGAACGTCAACACCGGGAGCGGACAGCAGAACATTGACGTCATCGGAAAGATGGACTTTGAGAAAAAGGATCGCAAAGAGCCGCGACATCAAGGTCTTGCAGTCCCAGTCGCGCAGGCTGCAAACCCACAACCACAGTGGCGCAACGATCAGAGATCAGGTGGCCCATACCGCGGTCACAGTCCATCCTATCGACCAACTTCAGCTCAAGGTCTTGCAGTTGCAACCGGGCAGAACGCAATTCCACTACCACAGCGACGCGACAATCAAGCACCTCTCAGTCCATTCTATCAACCAGCTTCGTCTCAGTATCGACCAACTTCGCCGCAGTATGGATCAGCTTCGCCTGAGTATCGACCAACCTCGCCGCAGTACTCGTATGGACCAACTTCGCTTCACCGTCGATCTCGCTCACCTCGCCGCCGCGTCGCCCCGGATAGTGACAGTGGCGCTATGGGTGAGTACCGGGATCGTTCATACGGGAGGGGTCATGGTCTTCCATATGAGGATGCTCCGTATGATTCAGAAGATGATTGGTCGAGACCAGATGGTGTGGATCGTTCTGGTCCAAGACCTCCGCGTCGCGAACGCTGAGATAGGTGGTATGGTAGCTGATGGCAATGAGTATAGAGGAACAGACTGCGGCCAGGCACTTTCATGATCTGTGTAGTCAACTGGTAAATATGTTCAGGCCATCTCCATGAGACTATACTAAGATGTATCACCAAGATGACCAAGCTCTTGCACTAATCCGTCAAACATCTCTGTTCTACATGTACGTGATGACAATGGTCTGATCTCTCCTGCAACTCCGGATCAGCTTCATGATCAGACTAGTTTCCAGCGAGGGAATCCCTAATTGCGTCCTTCATTTCCTCCTGGATTTCCTCCGGGATTTGCTTCCTGGTTCGCTTCCCGAATCTCTCCCTCGTTTCCTTCATCGCCATCGCGGACAACGTGTCTAGGCGAATCAAATGGTTCTGCGATCGGCACCTCTCTTTCTTCATTGCTGGGTTGGTCTTCATCGTCAAATTCGACGCTCTCAGTGCTCGTGGTTTCGATAGTCGACATGGAGTCGCCTTCCTCGCTAGGGTGGTCAGTATGATCAGAGTTATCGGATTTAGGGCGAACAAGTTCGGGAACTTTGTCTTTGGAAGGTACTTGAGAGGGGCCACGTTTGGCGCCCCCTTGGTCACTAGAAGACATTTTTAGTGTAGCTCCGTTGCTGGAACTAACGAGTCGGTCTAGCTTGTGGGATGAAGCTTTTTATTACGCATCTCATTGTAGCAAACCTCCTCATGCTCATGGGAACTCGGGGGGGTGACCAGGGCTCGTGATGATATGATGAGAGTATTGGAGATCAGATCATATTTGCGATTTTGGTCGTTTCATGGGAGCAGAGATTGGAAAGCCTATGCCGGCTTTAATGATGACGAGATCTTAACCTGTATATGCTGGAAAGATATCAGAAGTTCTGCGTGTTGTATAGCGGATGCGCTTGGGTTGCTACCTTGCGGCCGTGTGCTCGTCAGCTGAAGAGCAGGGGGACCTAAGGTGAGGCTTTCATCTAGACACGCGTTATGGATTGTCGTGAGATCAGGTAGTTGATATGGGTTGTTTCCCGACTGAACATTCTCCGCGATTGCATCTTGTCTTATGAGAGATGCACAACGGCCGCTCACCTAGCACTGGGTGTACGCGGCAGTCTGCCTTCATGAAGAGGGTCACTGCTTACGCCTTAAGGCCAAGTCTGAGCAAACGCGGTTAAAACGCGGGTTAAATGGGCCACAGCCAGAGAGTCGCTCACCGAATGTCAGTCCGGTATGCATGAACAGCTTGACAGCTTCTCCCGTTCTCCAGGTAGGAAGCTGGCGAATGGGAGTGATAGTTCCCTGTGTCGCGCATACCGCGGCCATTTTGTTCAACCGCATATGCCTCGTGCCAAATCCAGACCCAGCTACCAACCAGTCGGGACAGAAACATGTGAGGGATGTCATGGGGGTTGCTCGCTCGCATTAAGCAGCCCACACCCCGCGGAGAACGTAACATAAATTCAAAGCTCTACCACCGTGATGGAGAAGTGACTCCATCCGCTCAAGTCTCTGGGCTCAACGGGAACGGTAAGCATGGATGATGACTGGGAAATCAGCAGATCAAAGGACCAGAGTGATGTTCTTGGTAGAACACCCGGTCTCGACAAGAGGCCAAGGCCCTATTTCACCCTAATAACGGGCCGATGCTCGGTCGACGATCATCAAGCGCGAAGAATCTTCCATGCCAATACGCCGGCTCCGAGGCCAGGCCTTGGCCCCACGCGGGTGCTATCAGATGGATTAAAACTGGGCGATTGGTACCACGACTAATCAATCTGATAATCGTCGCTTTATCTGATCCACCAACGTACACAACCGAAGATGGGTGCCTTAGGATGTGAGGAATTTGTGGTTCCAGAATTGTATGGCTGTTTGGATGCTAATGCAAGCGCGCAGGGCTCAGGCCCAGCGACTCTGGCGATGCGAAGAAAGTTTTGGAGAGGAAGCTCGTTGTGAAGCTTGGTATGAGCATCTTTATCCCCATGGCGCAACCATGCTAACTTTAATGTGACTAGACATCTTCATCATGGTCAGTACTGTCGCAGAACTGGACTACTCATGATATCTGACTGTCTTGACTAGGTGTTCTGCTGCGCAGCCTACTTCTTCAACTACCTGGATCGCCAGGCTTTCGCTAATGCCTATGTTGCTGGTCTCCGCGAAGACATCGGCCTCAAAGGCAATGAATATAGCATCTTGCTGTCGATTTTCACCGCAGGGTCTGTTCAGTGTGCCAGTGTGTCATAGCACTCTAGCTGACAGCTTCGCAGTCTCGTTGTCGGCCAGATACCCCATGGTCTCATCATCCAGAAAGTTCGCCCTAGCATATGGCTTCCGTTCACTCTTATCCTCTGGTCTCTTTTGACCATGTGTTCAGCTGGGTGCAAGACGTATTCACAGCTTTGTGCAGTCCGCTTCTTCCAGGGTTTGATCGAGGCCAGTTTGTATAGTGGTAGCGTGTATGTGATGGGTTCATGGTAGTAAGTCGATCGAGTTCCTTTTCATGGGAAGATGCTCACGATGCCCACAGCAAGCCTTCCGAGATAGCCAAACGGGCTGCCATCTTTACTGCGGTCGGGCAGGTCGGGAGTATGTGCGCTGGTCTCATGATGACGGCAATGCACCAGACGATGGAAGGCAAAGGCGGCTTGAAGGGCTGGCAATGGGTGTTCATCATTGGTACGTGAGCGATTTCGAGGGCCGCCGCGCGCGCGTTGCTGATACATGTGGTTCAGACGGCCTTATGGGAATTCCAGTTGGTCTCTTCGGATTCGTAAGTTGTGTCGGTGCTTGCACCCGAGCCTGAGGACTGATAGTAACCCTAGTTCACATTCCCGGATCTTCCAGAGTCGACCAGAGTCTCATACATCACTCAGGCGGAAAGACAGCTCGCAATGACTCGTCTACCACCTAAGACAGCAGACACCCACAACATCGAGTTCAAAAGCCTTGCGAAGCGTGTTCTCCTGACGCCTACTATGTGAGTAGATACCTATCGTGTTAGTCAAAACCAGGAAGTCATACTAACTCCTCTGCAGATACATCCTCACAACTTTCTCCGTCGTCTGCGCCATGCTCGAAGCCTTCGCCTTCCAGGGCATGTTCCTCCTCTGGCTCAAGCACAACAAGTCTCGCTTTTCCCAAACCGCTATCAACACGTACCCTCTCGGAATTCAAGCTGTTGCGATCGTCTCCCAAATTCTTGGCGGAGCCTTCATCGACCACACAGGTCATCGTCTGCCTATGATCATCTTTAGTGGAGCGATGCAGCTCATCACTGCATCGCTTCTGCTCGTGCGAAACCTTCCAGATGCGGGAATCTTCACAGCGCATTACCTCAGTGGCACAAGTTTCATCGTAAATCCAATCATGTACGGCTGGGCCACAACCATCTGCCAGCGAACGGGCGACGATGCGGTGAGGGGTGTGACCGTGTATACAATGGCCATGGGCGGCCTGATTCTGTATACATGGTGGGGTATCGTCATGTACCCAGCGACTGATGTACCATACTGGAAGAAGGGAAGCATCACCATGATCGTGGTGGTCTTTGCTTTCATTGGATGGGCGTTCGTGGTCAGATGGGTGAGTATCATTGGTGAATAAGGAATTTGGCGTGTACTAACGATTCGTGTAGCTTGATAGGAAGACGGCGATGGCTGCTAACCGTGAGCCAGCTGAGTCTGGAGAGCATGAGGTGCCGGAAGTGGTTGATGAGAAGACGAAGTGTGGGTAGTGGGCTTTGTCATGGCCCCTCGGAAAGCACTGCCCCTTCGGTTCGCGCACATGAATGTTGTCAACAAACTCCTTGACGAAAAGATATGTGGGCAGTAATGGCTGCAGGCCGCGGTCGCTGATGCGCGACGTCTTGCGGAAGGATTGGTTGGTGCTGTGGGCGAAACGCATCACGAAGGGATTCAGGGTCTCGCATGTCATCATTACGTCATCGTCATCTCCGCGTTCCGTCGCAGAAAGAATGCACTCAGTGCTCCTTTTTCCACAATACTGATCATCCTCATCGCGTCTTTGCTCTGGTCTTTAGCGATTTTGTTCGACGCGTCTACGTATGGATGTCTTTCGACCGCCGCCAGTACGACCAGTGAATGTGTACTCACATCCCTTCACCAACTTTCCGTGCCCAGTCGAGATGCAGCTGTTGTAAGGCAGTATTTGTCGTGTCTTGACGCAGCTCTTGAGTTCGAAGTACATATCTGTCGATTCTCCTACGTCGCTGACCCGTAGCCATTGGAACATCCTCAGAGCGCAGTGTTCTACTTGCCTCATCCATAGCAACGGTAATGGGCTGGCCCGGTTCTTCTCCAGGTTCTTCCTGGTCCTCATCGCGCGTTTCTATACACACATCTCCAAGCCATTCGTCGATCCAGCGCCTCTTCCGAGACGACATCCTTTCTCCAAAATGTTCTGTTGCGATTGCTTTTGTCTGAGCTGGTGCGCCTAGCTCTGGCTTCGACTTTCTCCTTCGAACCTCGCGATCATGCCGATGTGCATCCGAAAGATCGCACTCAGCCTGCGCATAACCTCTGTCAGCTTCCTGCATCTTCGAGGAAATGTTGCGACATTTTTCCAGCCATATCGGACCAAATTCTTCTTCTAGCTGATACGACCTTACACTTGCATTGACACGTTTCCCTCTCTGGTGAAACATGTAAGTCTTCAACTCCTGATCGTACTGCTCGCGAACGTTGTTAAACTCTTTCTCAACGCGTGTCGCTTCGTCCGCTGTTTGGCGGAGCGCGTCCTGTAATGCCAGCAGGTTTTCGTTGCGAGGGTAGTCGTTCCATGCGTTATTCCACGTACTTTCTGGTTCTTCTTGTTGCAGAGGTCTAAATGCCCCGCTATATATCTCCACAATCGGCGGGGGTATCCAGTCCCCAGGTCTCTCCTCGTTCCAATTGTTCTCGGGCCAATCCAGATTGAGATCGTCTACATGCTCTCTTGCGTCCACGATCCGGACCCGCGGATTCTTGTCGTCGCCATCGATGTTGGGCAGAACGCCTATCCGTACTAGAAGGTCGTCGAGCAAATCCCAAAGCGTTTTTTCTACGGCCATAGTGTTCACATTTACTTCATGATGTCGAGCGTAGATATTATCCTGCTCTACCTGGAGCTCTTCTCCCTCTGCTTCAAGGGCTCGAATACGATATATGACTTCCGATTTACGCTTCATCGCCCATTCGAAGGTCTCACGATCATACCCACCGTAGTTGCTCGAAGTCAACCTAATGAGCTCCTGCTGTTCTTCTTCGCATTTTGCCTTTTCTTCTACCATCTTATCATACTTTCGCTGAACTTCGTCCAGCTCTCGATTGCGCAATGCGTACGACGAATCGGCGTCACGACGAGCCAATCCCGCCTTTATTATCGCACAGAACAGCTCATACGTCGGCACGATGCCTGCACGAGGCTTCTCTCGGCTGCCAACTAATAGCAAACCACTCTCGCTGTGGAAGTCTTCCTTGTGTATGATGTCTGGCCACCACCAGACCGGGTCAAATGGTATGAAACCTGCAGGAGGGTGTTGTTGCAGGGTGGAAGAAGCTGACGGTATACCGTGTGACAGATGGCTATTTCGCGCTTGTGACTGATTGTGGGAGGAACCCGATGCTAAAGTCCTCATTGGTTTGTTCTTTCCCTCAGCGGGGGCTACATACTGAGGATGAACCTGCTGTGCCAGCCTGAGGAACTTTCCATTTTCCTGAGCTCGGTAGTCGTGATCGGCCCTTCTTTCACTGAACATTAGATGAATTTCAGGAGATAACCAAAGCCAGCTCGATGTATTCTTCCCCTTCTTCGACCGGTACGTTGGTTGGATGTCGTGTGCAGCGTCCTCAGTAAGGCGAGGAAACTTGGAAGGACGCCTCTCAGGATAGGAGACATCTTCCTCGCAGGCATCACTGGCGTAGTCTTCGAAGCCTCTTTTTCCACAAGGTTTCGTCATTTTCGATGAGGACCCCGGGCCTATGCAAGTCATTATTGGTCGCGTCAGAATGTGTAACAGGCGTCTGTTGACATATAGGAGTAAGAATCTCGCGACACGGCAGCTACGTCAAATCCCCATAGGAGAGAGGCTTACCATTTCGACAACGTTGACATATTGGAAGACAAAGACGTGTTGTCATCTGTTTGGATCTACCTTTGTCCCCCTCCCGTCTTTGTTGCTCGACGATCTTACATAAGCGGAGTGGGCACATAGCACAGCACCTCGACAGCTTTGAACACTGTGAATAATAGGTGCGTGCACTCCGAGAGACCTTCTCGAGTTGGGCGCGGACCCGAGTGAAATGGTCTAGCGACCGCAATTCACATTCGTAGGGGGGCACTCTGCCCCCTCTTCCTATATCAATGGCGACTACTCGGGCTACCAAGGCTTTCATCAACACCTCTGGAGTCGCAACCGTGTCAACCCAACTACAGCGATCGACTGGTCATGTCAGAACGAGATCGCCCAAGGGACGACGGTCGTGGATCTGGCGGCAGGCGGCCCAGCGACCGCGGTCGACAAGCAGATAGATGGAGACCACAACGAAGTCCGTCCCGCAATGATAGAGATAGAATGGGGCCTCGCGATCGATCCCCACCAGTCCGAACCCAGGGACACCAGAGACTTTCTGAAGACCAGCGACCTCCTCGGCTTTCAGGTTCGCAGCAAATCCGTTCGATTGCCACTCTGCATGCTGGACGCGACGTGACGAATGTGTTCAACAATCAGAATCCAAACCACATGCCGCTTGGGGTTCGAAGCGACAGCCGCGCCCCATCAACTGCTTTGATTTCTGGAGAACCCACAGTACCTAGCACCGCGCCAGGCTTTGGAGAGGTCCCAAACTATCAGGCCAGGCCTACAGCTAGCATGACAGGATACGAAAACTCTAATACGGGCGGAAGTGGTCGAGAGCCCCCTCAGAGGGCCAAGACAGCTTCAACTCGAAATAGCAACTCCGGTCGCTATTCAGCCCCAGACGGACACGGACGTGTGAACCAACACGTTCAAACAAGTCGGCACGCTGTGTTACCAAACTTCACACCATTATCCTTCGGAGACATCGTCAACTTCTGGATGATCAAGCACTGTCAGATCGACGCCGATCAGCGAATGACACAGGACAGACACGGAGAATGGTGGTTCACAGACAAAGGCGTACTCCGCTTCCTTCCAAACGAATATATCCGGAATATGTATGGCCAGGATTGGCCGCATGGCTTTTACTTGGAAGCTCGAGACGGCCTCGTAACTGCTACGTTACATGAAGACAACGGCAGGGCAACAGTCCAAATCCTACCTATCTGGACTTATGGTAGTACGGGAGCCTGGAGAGACGCCGCGGAGACCATACCTAAATCTGCAGAATTCTGCGCTTCGCACCTCTCCATCATGAACCGGGACCGAGTCGATGATCGAGAACGATATGAAGCAGATATCAGAGAAGAGCTGGCGCGGAATCCGAACTCCACCCAGACGATCTCACGCGGTATCGAGCATCCAACTCCCAACGGCCATCCCTACGCGCCAATGGACTGCGTCGCTGTTGTTGATCGACTCCATCCGTACGACCCGAAGCGCAATTCTGTGATCAGGTTCTCCATGAGTATCACTGTGGACTTGGATGAACGGGTGCGTCGGCATTCTACACTGGAGCCTGAGAGTAGGATCCGTACCCGAGACATCTACTGGAAATGGCTCATTATCAGCATGATGGATCCTCTAGAGCGCCGTACAGCTGACTATGGCCCGTATACGTGGCTTAGAGGAATGGATCCAAGCTATACCGGGTCGCTACACACACCTGAAATCGGCACCACCAACGCTGCACCTCCACAGATGCCGACAGTACCTCAGCAGAACGGGGCATCGCCGCCTTCTACCGGTCTAGCTACGGTGGCTACACCTCATCAGATGTCAATGGTACCCCATCAGAATGTAGCCCCACCACGTCCTACTGGTACTTTGGGTTCTACTCAGCAGGTGTCGACAATGACTAATCAGAACGGAACCCTGCCATATCCTAACAATATCATAAACGCTGCACCTCCACAGGTGCCGGCAATACCCCAGCAAAATGGAACTATGCCACCTCCACCGTCGGCGAAGCGCAAGGCTGACGATACAGAGGCAGCGTCGTCTGTAAAGACCCAACAGCAGGCCGCAACGGGAAATCATATCGCAAAAGAAGAAGAAGACAACTTCGGTGCACAAGCTGCTGACTCAACCGCACCACTGGAGCCAGCACAAAAGCGACAGAAGACCACAATCGGCGCCGAGGACAAAGCCGATGTTGATGTCGGGCCTAAGCCTGACGACGCAGACCGCAAATAAGAGCTTGAGAACCTAGGAGATGATCTCCCATTGAACTGCAGATATTGCGGTTATGAGAACATGATACGGCTACGCTAGTTGGCATTGCCTTATCAGAAGAGCGACGTCGAGCGAGCAAGCATTGCAGCAGATGTCTTGACAGTGTATAATATCCTTTCCCATTCACATTACTACCCCATACTCGGATCGTTGCTTATTGGCTGTCTTGCCACTTCCTGCTCTTTCTTGTCTTGTTCATACTTTTACGTTCCTGGTGTTCTTATTCATGATCATAGTCGTCATCGTTCGTTGGTATCGTTCCGCTGCCGACATAGTCTTCGTTGCTCATTTCGCGCTCAGGGCATGTTAATGCGTGGCTGGTTATGTTGAATGAACATTGCGAAAGATAAAGGAGCGATGCGTTGGGTCGACGAGGTCATTAGATGTTTCAGGTGACGCGAAGAGAGGGAAAGGGGAGAGGCTGGATCTCTGGGCGAGGAAGGGGTAGATGTTGGTTTGACAATACTCGGGCCGAGTTGTGAGAGAGTCGGGGGTGAGAGGGGAGAGGTATATGAGGGTGTGCGTGATGCATGATTGGGGATCGATGAAGTGTGCTCGGTGTGAGAGTTGCAAGAACAGGGATACCTGTGGGGAATAACTGTTAACATATTAATTCGTTCTCGAGTCCGTAAATGTGTAATTGATACGTATGCGTTACATAAAAGCAGCGTGAAAAGAATCTTCGTAGTACTCGCGATAGTCATGACCCATTATGTTCGCCCCTGCGCCGAACGAACCCAGAAGACTCCAAAGCAAGCAAGCAAGCGGCCAACGACGGGATCTTGATATGCCCATGTAATGTCGTCTAGATGGTATAAACGTGAGGAAGCAAAGCAACGCTAAATGCTGATGTACGATGATGAAGGATGATGAGGACGAAGGAAACGCCAAACGCTATGATAGAGGAGATTTGGTTGGGAGCCGTGGGGATTAGACGGCGACAGTGTGGGCGCGGAACAACATCTTGAGGCCGGAAGGCTCTTTCTCCTTCTTCTTGGTCTTGCTGCTTTCTTTGCTGCTCTCCTTGCCGGATTTGCTGGAGGCGACTTTGCTGGAAGCGACTTTACTTGAGGCAACCTTGCTGGAGGGACGTTTTGAGTCGGAGGTCTTGCTGGTCTTGACGCTGACTTCGGACTTCGGTGCGCGGTGCTTGTGCTCTTTGTGCTCTTTGTGTTTTGATTCGCTGCTGTGCTTCTTGGATCGGGTGCTGCGGCGGGACTTGAGATCGTCTTCGTCAAGTACGCCGGCGGCGCAAAGGGTGCGGGAGGCTTCGGGCGTGATGAACTCGCCGTCGACACTGGTGCCGGAGCTGTTGGCCTCGACGTCTGCGATGCCGCGGCGCCACAGCTCTACGCGGCTGAGCTCCTGGGGCTCGAGCTCGTCGAGCTGGTTGTTGGAGTCTTCGATGGGCATGGTAGCGGCACGCATGGGCATCGCCATTTGCGGCTCGGGTAGGGGTGCGTCGACTTCCTTCTGGACTTGCATCTTCTTGATGATTTTGTATCCACCGAGTGCGACAATGGTAACGCCGACAGCGACACCTCCAGCGATCATGAACTGGGGGCTGAGGAGCAGAGCTGCAACGGCAGGGAAGCTGCCCTTGAGCGTCATGAGGACACCAGGTCCCATCTTGCCGACGATGGCGCTGATCTCGGCGAGCGTGAGTGATACGGCGGCAAGCGCTTCGGGATTCTTCTGCAGGTTCTCGATCATAGCCGTGGCCGTGTGTTGTAAGCAGTTGGCCTCGTCCAGGAGCAACTCGATCTTGGAAGCCTTCTCTTTCAGCTCGACGTCGTTGTACTTCTTGTCGGGCAGGGGCGGGGGCACGTCGCCGTAGCAAAGGTCCATGTCGACTGACTTGGATCGCGACTTGCTGCTCTGCGACGAGCGCTGGACGGCCTGATCGGAATTCCTCCTCGCAATCTCCTTGTTGTGTGCGTCGCCGGCGAGGTCGGCTTCGAAGCGGTGTTTGCTGCTTCGCGGGCTGTCGTTGGCATAGAAGCTGTCGCTGTAGCCGCGCTCCATCACGGGCCGGTCATGGGCCTTGGTGCGATGGGTGTGGGCTTTGGACGCCTTGGAGCGATGCGAGACCTGGGAGCGGGCGTCGTCGTCGTCCAGGCGGATGGCCTTGACGCCCTTGGCGAGCTCCTTCTCCTTCACGGCGGCATCGCGCTCCGCCTTGATCTCCGCCTTGCGCTCGCGGTAGGCGGCCTTGGCCTCCTTGAAGACGTTGACAATGTGCTTGCTCTGGGCGGGGCGTCAGTACGAGTACGGGGCTTATCGGGGGGCTAGCGAGCTTATCGGGCACTCACACTGCTCACGACCTTCCCGCTCTTGTTAATAACAGTGATAGTCTCTCCGAGTCCGACGGCCATGGTGACGTAGTAGGGCGTTGTGTTCCTGCAGCAGCTGCACAGCGCGCGGCAAGAGGGGTTTTGTGTGACCTTGAGGCTGGTTGCGGTGAGAATGGTACTTGTGTCCTGGGCCTAAAAGGCGGCGGTGAGCATGTATCAGTCAGTGCTCGCGGAAACGGCAGCTGGCGCAACTCCACAAGGTCCCACCTGGATCACCAAGTCGTCGCGGCCAGGCTGCGACTATAAGGAATTTCAGAGTCACTCCTGACGGCGCTATTGTCGGAACACTACGCGCGGAATGAGGCGATTTCTACCGACCGCGACACGCAGCCATGATGGTGGTGGAGCGCGGGGTGCGACCAGAGTGGCCGAAGCGACCTGCAGCAAAGCCATTCACGAGACTGCCCGCATACTTCGCATCGCTTGTCTGTGACGTCTCGCCCTGGTTCGTGGGCTGCGGCGTGAAGACTCAACCAGTGCAGTCCGGGCATAGTCGCAGCGCGTGTCGCCATGTAACTGGAGGCGCTTCCCTGGCGCCGGCTATGCGGGCAGCGAGACGCTGCAGCACTGAGGCCCCGGCTTCGCCTGCCATTGGTGCGGATGGCTGTCTTGCTTTATTACTGCAGCCATCGTGAACGTGTCGTGACAGCGACTGGACAACTAATTTTCGGCAGCCTCAGTTCTCACGCGTGCTGATGCAACGATGCAGGCCCTGGCAGCCATAACCCGACTGTTGCTGCCCAAACCCCAACATGGAGCCGTCTGGAATCAAGATTGTTAATCATTGTCTAGTTGGCATGATCGGCTCTAGGTTCAGCCTCTGGTAGCCTTCAGCTGGGAAGGTTGCCCTTACCGCGCCAGCCGTGGCGGTGCTGCTGTGGCGTCTGTGGCGGTGCGCTCTATCGTCGCGGCCGAGACTCCAAAAGGCTGTCAACGTCGAGCTGAGAAGGTTGAAAATCTGAGAACATTACGCAAGCTGCGTCACATCGAGGCTGTTGGAGGTTCGACAGTCTTGGTCATGGCCAGCAGTGTGGCTGTAGTTTGGTTGGGGTCCCACGCTCCTTTTTCTCAACCCACTTTTCCCACGTTTTCAACGCAGAGAGGAAGGCACTCCCTGGTGGTGCTGGTGAGGCATTATCGACGATTCATTACCCGCAGTCGATCAAGGCTACTGGTCCCATTTACACTCTACACAGGCATCTCTGCTCGCCGATTTCCCATCCTGTCCAATCTTCGGCCGCGCTTCGCAATCCTCAAACTTGGCGGCAGAGTGTTCCAGAATGCACACCGACGATCTTCACTCTATCTCTTCGACCTGCATGCGGCAGCCTCCAGCCTCCCGCGCCCTGATATGCATGTTCCCGTGAGGCTGTCCTAAGTCTCCTTAGCAGCTGGAGCGACTCGAGGCGGGCCACACCAACCGCGTCATTTACAATTGGTAGCTCAACGTCGGAAGCCGCTCTCTACGCTGCGACCACGTATTCGGGCCTGCGAACGGTGAACTATCTATTGTTTAGAGCTCGCAGACTAGGGAGCGACTGCATGATTGACAGCGCGCCGCCAAGTTGTACGACACGTGCATACGTGACTGCACGCTGGTGCACATATGTTGGCACCACTGCGCTTGCTGTGAGATATGCTGATATGGCCATCGAGAAAAAGGAAGCAGTGATGCTATTCCGTGATCTCAGCTTACTGTGAAGCACACTCCCACCTTGAGATATGGCGTCATTGCAGCGAGATCGCTCGCCATGTAGGAGCGGTGAGCTCGTTACTCGGTGCGAGCAGCAAGGCTCGAACTCCCCTGAGAGGTCACCTAGCGACGACGAGACGTCCTCAGATATTACGCTGAACGAGGTAGATGAAGCCGATCAACGGCTGCCTCTTTCGAGCACGGTAAGGGAGGCACCGCTATCGCACAGCGCAGGACTTTCTTCTTCTGCCATCTTTCCGTTCCATCTCCTCGCAGGCTGTAGCTCAGCAGAAAGAAGGACCATGTGCATCTTGTCAGCGTCGCTTACATCGCAGGAAGTGAAGACAGCTCTAGGTGTAGGACTAAGAGGTACGTCTAGTCGAGTTGCTGCGTCCATCGGTGATGCATCAGGGCCCCGCAGCCGGCGCTTTTGGCCCTGGACCCTGAATGTGCCGTCATCGCTCCCACCAAGTCGCGAAACCTTTACACGCGACCATGCACCTACTCCAGAGATACAACACCAAGCCGGGCTGACCATGCCAGCAGCAACGCCTCCGTATAATGACGGCATCCTGGAGACGCAGGGCGCAGAGAAGTCTGGCCTAGATGGCAATCGAACGCCGGCCCTCGCGCATCGGATGAAGCACGACAAATCGATCCTCGCGTTAGCAGTGTCTTCACAGTACATCTTCGCTGGAACACAGGGCGGGGAGATCCTAGTACGTGTCTAAGCGAGCTCCAGAGGCGCCAGACTTATGACGTGCAGGTGTTCAGCCTCGATACCTACGAGCGACGCAGTGTCATACATGCGCACAAGGGCAGCGTGCTCGGCTTGTGTCTGTCGCATGACCGCAAGTGGCTGTTCTCGAGCGCAGCAGATCCGATCGTCAATGTGAGAGAGTCTGGAACGTCCATCGTCGGTGTATGCTGAGTTGTTAGGTCTGGTGCACGTCGACCTTCAGACACCTCTACGCGCTCTGGTCGCCATACGATATCGGAGACATTTTCTGCGTCGCATACTCCTCACAACATCGCACCGTCTACCTCGGAGCCCAGAACACAAGCATACAAGTAGGAAAGAAGACTGAACAGGAATGCATGGGCTGACAGTAGCAGTGGTACGATTTGAAGGAGAAAGACACTAGACCGGCCCCGAGTCTGTCATCGCATCCTGCAGAGCGAAAGAACAAATTCTTCGACTCCCTAGGACCGGGCGGCGCGCAAACCCCGAAGCCCAGCGGGGCAGATACGAGACCACGCGACGCAGTAGGCGGGCAAGAGCTGCAAATCGACAGCCATGACATCTGCCAATTTGCCCACTACGGATACGTACATTGCATGCTCCTGGGCAGCGGGATCATACCGGAGGCGCCATCCGAGGAGATTCTGGTCTCGGGTGGAGGAGACGGGCGTATCTTGCTGTGGCGCATAGATCCCGCACAGCGTGGTGCCATCACAAGCCTCTACACATTGGAAGATGGAAGGGAGGAAGGTGAATCCATACTTTCACTCGCCAGAGAGGGCTCTTTCCTGTACAGTGGGCGCTTCGACGGCGAGGTCAACGTGTGGGATCTTGAAACCCGGCAACTCGTGCGAAGTCTCAAAGCGACTACCGGTGATGTTCATACCCTAACATTGGGTGCCGGCGTTCTGTACGCTGGTGGTAAAACCGGTGTAATGCAGGTGAGTCTCCTTTACGGCTTTGTAAGAACCATGACTAACATAGATAGAAATTCAACGAGCATTACGAAACCATCACGACCTTCAAGGCACACGACGGCCTAATTCTCGCTTCCGCGTTTACCAGATACAACGATAAGCCAACCCTCGTTACCGGCGGCAATGACAATACTGTGGTTATCTGGGAAGTCAGAGATTGTGCGGAGCCCAACGCCGTCTCACGCAGAAGCAACAACGGTTTGTACACATCCGAAACTTTGATTTGCTCAACTAATGCGTTGTGCAGATCTCATGGTGGAGTCATTGAGACAGTTCGTGTCTTTTCGGACCGTATCGTCGCTGCCCAAATATCGCGCTGACTGTCGTAGAGGGGCGTCTTACTTGCGTTCCGTCTTCCAGAATTTTGGCGCTGTTACCGAGATGATCAACACAAGCGAGTACAACCCAATTGTGTTTGCAAAATTCCGCGGCAACCCGGCTACAGCGGCCTCACGTAAGAAAATTCTGTTCTACGGGCACTACGATGTTATCCCTGCAGAAAACGAACACCGCAAGTGGAAACACCATCCCTTCGAGCTGACAGGAGAGGGAGGCTATTTATATGGTCGCGGGACGTCTGACAACAAAGGCCCGATTATGGCTGCCATCTACGCAGCTCATGAGCTTGCAAATGAACAGCGCCTGGATTCCGACATCATCTTCCTCATAGAAGGTGAAGAGGAGAGTGGCTCTCGCGGTTTTGAAAGAGCTGTGCAAGCCAGGAAAGATCTCATTGGTGATGTTGACTGGATCCTCCTGGCCAACAGCTATTGGCTCGACGACCATGTGCCCTGCCTGACTTACGGACTCCGAGGAGTCATACATGCTACTGTGCAGATTGAGAGTAAGCATCCTGACTTGCACAGTGGTGTAGATGGAAGTGCTTTGCTAGACGAACCGCTCAAAGATCTTGTCATGCTGCTATCACGATTGACCGCACGACATGGCAAGGTTCAGATCCCAGGTTTCTACGACCCTATCCTACCTTTGACAGAGGATGAAGAGGGACTCTATACCGAGATTACCGAAACACTTTTACGTGGTAACCCAGATCTTGGCGATGCAGGAGAGCTAGCACAGTCATTGATGCGCAGATGGCGAGAGGCTTCACTCACCATCCATCGCTTCCAGACTTCTGGTCCTGATAACTCAACCATCATTCCTCGTCTTGCTAAGGCTGCCTTATCGATACGACTGGTACCGAATCAAGAAGCTGGCGACGTAGCAGAGAGTCTCAAGTCCTTCATGCAATCTGAGTTCGAAGATCTTGACTCAAAGAACCAGCTCAAGGTAACAATCGACCACCAAGCCGAGCCGTGGCTTGGTGATTTCAACAACGAGATCTTCCAGACGCTTGAGCGCGCCATCATGTCAGTATGGGGTCCAACGCTTGGACAGCGAAGGGAAAGCATGTCTATAGTTCAGCCGCCCGACTACTTCTCGCCATTATCACGAGCAGCGGCCGAGCCTTCAACACCTACTGCTAAAGACAAGCCTGCGCCAGCAACATCAAATACTCTGGCCAACTCATCCGACCCCGCTCTTGCAGGGCCTGTCCCATCATCTGGCAACTCGACGCCGGACCACACTCGAAGCGAAGTAGCGTCTCGTAAGCCTCTGTACATCCGGGAAGGTGGCTCTATCCCCAGTATCAGATTCCTAGAGAAAGAGTTCAATGCACCTGCTGCGCATCTGCCGTGCGGCCAAGCAAGTGACAGCGCGCATTTGGACAACGAGCGCCTGAGGTTAGTGAACCTGTACAATAGCAAGAAGATCTTCAAGGAAGTTTTCCGGGAGCTGCCGAAGAAATGATGGCTTCGATTGCATTATATAGTCGAGAAGTACGGGACGTATTGGAGTTTTGAAGGGTGATGTTGGGTGTACCGTGTAGACATCCATACCCTCGAGTATGGTATACCGTGGCCGCGTCTCTGCGGCGGCATACCCCGTATATATCATATGAAACCATGTATACACACTTCCAAATTGTCTACTGCGATACCCCAAACATCACTCCGTACGTCCCATTCAACCAATCATGCAACGCCAAAGCTTCCAAGACCCTCGGCTTACCCCAATCGCATACCCCGCTGCAGCTACCCACTAGCCGAACCCTTCGGATAACTGCATCTCCATACATCACCACTTACATCGAGAAACATCTTGTGATCAACAGGTTGAAGCGAGCACGACGAACTTAGTCTGTGCAAAGGCAACTCGAACGCGGCATAGACCAACAGGCTTACGCAACGCCGATACCGGCCGCGGATTGATACTGTCGTACGGTTGGACTGTTGAATTGGAACAGCTGTGATTCATAGGAAGGTGAGATTCAAGCCTGGACTCAAGGCGTTGAACAAGAGTGTTATCTGTGGACGTCGCTTGTTGTTAAGTCTGAAAGTTGCTGCTTTCCTGATTGCTGGACTCTCATTCCCTATCAACCTTTGCGCAGCATCACCATCGTCATCAACAACACCCATCCGCTACTCTAGTACCTCCCAATTCCAACACCAGGTAATCCCGCCATCCATCCTACCACTCATCGAATACCTCAGACCCATCCCACCCCACCACCAACATGGGCGTCTTCTACGAAACCATACCAAACAGCCTCATCCCATGGATCAAAGAACAGCAAATGCTCTGGGTAGGCACCGCGCCCCTCTCAGGCGACGGCCACATCAACATCTCCCCAAAAGGAGGCCAGAACTTTGGCGTCCTGAATGAGCGAACGTTTTGGTACATGGATCTTACCGGGAGCGGAGTAGAAACACATGCGCATCTGCACGAGCCAGGGAATGGAAGAATTTGCGTCATGTTCATGGCCTTCACCGGTCCCCCAAAAATCGTGCGTATCTGGGGCGAAGGCCGCGCCATCGAGAACGGAACCCCAGAGTACGAATCTTTTATTTCTGAGCACAAGATCGAAACGATCCCCGGTTCCCGCAGCATCATCATGGTAGATGTGCACCAATGTGGCACATCCTGCGGCTTCAGCGTGCCCTACTACGACTTCGTCGGCCACCGCGACATTCTGAACGAACACTTTAGAAAGAAAGACGCCAAATACCAAGCTGGCGATGAGAAAGAATCGATGGATCACTACTGGGCGTGGAAGAGCCAGCTTAGCATCGATGGGTTACCTGGCATGAAGAGGGGGTATGAGTTTGCGCAGAAGAATGGGGTGCAGCCGTTGAAGAAGATGGTGGGGCCGTATGCGCCTGGGGGGAGGGGCAGGAGGGATGGGGATGGGAGGGTGGAGGTGTTGTGGTTGTTTGTGGTTTTGTTGTTGGGCATTGTTATCGGCGGGGCGGTTAGTTTGAGTGTTGTTACGCCCGAGAGGGTGAGGGCGCTGCAAGAGAATGGGAGGGTGTTTTGAGGGGGTGGGATCTAAAGATGTGGAAAGGTGCTAGTGGAAGCAACCGCATACGCAAAGGTACTCCTCATCAAATGAGAGAGATCGCAATCCTCAACCTCTGTGCTAGTGGAAGATAAGAAGCGGAGTGTACTGCGTGTTAGAGATTCAAAAGGATCCAATCGGTAAACTCCATGCAACATGTGCAGTATACGTTCTTCGACACTGCGCAGTGCAGGTACTCGTGTGACTCGTATGTCAGCAAATTGTACCAAAGGAAGTTAGTTATGTTGGTGCTAAGGATCTCACGCATACTTGCACCACCCGGTACAGTCTGCGCTTGATAGTCGTACGCCCCAGAGTACTTTCCTGTACTGGTTCCTGGCGTGATGACAGTCGAAGCGATTAGCGTACGCATCCAAGTGAGCCAATGATCTCTGCCATGAGACATTGCAGGTAGCTCAGGCCGCTCTTGCCACCAGTAAAGATTGTTGTCCAGGAATCCCGATGACTGATCATCTACTTGGCGTTACGTGGGAATTGGGAATTGTCATTAGGCGTGCCATGTGCTGCAACACACGTATACGAATATCCGGCGCTGATGGTGGAGATTGTCGAGTTTGAGAACGGATGGGGAAGCGACAGGCGGCGGGGGTCAGACGGGGCGGGATTCAGCCGTGGCTACTACCTCAGCGTTGGGAAGGTGTGAACCTTTCTGTTACCTCACCGTGGCCTTGGCTAGACTCAGCGCTCTGACATGCGCGTGGTACCGAGCACATGGAGAGTACCAGCGTAGTCGATAAACGGACCATGCACTACTCCTCGTGTCCACCTAGTAGCTTTAGCCGTTTTGCACCAAAGCAGCCTTGAAGTCGGTATACGGTGCTGACTATGTCTCGGCTAAGCCTGCCTCTTGATAGATGTAGAGAGCCCTGGCAATAACGTGCGAGTGCGTGTCGACGAAGTCTTCAAGCTCTTCAAAATCAATAAGCTCAGCGTCGCGTCATAGAAGCGACGGCAAAAAGCTTAGGATCGACTGCCAACACCGCTGACGCTTATCCGTGGTTCTGGCGTGGCGAGGCGTTTCAATAAAGCCGGAACCGTAACGGTAGAGTACCTGCTCACGTGCGGCATCGCGCTTGCCGGCCGAGGTCTTCATCAAGCTTAATTTAGGCGACGTGTCGATCTTGAGTTCCCCCAATCCCCGTCTTTTACCCTATCAACCTCATCACTGTCGACGCTCTATTTGCGAAAAAGGACCGCGCATCTGACCAGGTCCGTCGAGGATAGGCGCGACACCACTCCAATGCGCCGTATGATTACCGCACACCACTGAGCCCGTATCTCAAAGGGTGGCGTGAATAAGCCCTTGCATACCGCGTCTGGGCAGGAAGCCTCAACCGCTGCCACTGCGTCTTCATATCCGCTGGCCGAGGCTTGTCTTGTCGCTCGAAATTCTTGATGCCGGTACCCGGTGTCGTGGTGTCGCATGTCGCATGTCCGTCCCCTGAGCGTGCAATTACCGTGGCCGCAAATACGATCGGGGTCCGTTGCCCAGGTCTTGGGCAACGCAGAGAACATTCGGGAGACCCGCCTCGACGATAGCCCTGGCAGGATGGCCCTCGGAGGAGCGAATGGTAGCGTTCGGAGGAAGTCTTGGCTGTATGGCGCGATTGGCTAAGCCGTTGTCCGTATCCCAAGCTTCGAGCCATTATCTTGTCTATCTGCAGGCGGCCCCACAGCGTGGTTGTTGGTGGGAACGTCTGGCCTGCATCCCGCCAGCCTCCTCGATGTCTTGCCCGAATCAATCGCTGCGGTCGTCTTCCAGAACGTTTGTATCGACGCTATACCAACGCTATCACCCGCAGATAACCGCGTTTGCAGTCAGAAAGAGCAAGGTCGCTGATACCGCGATTGAGGAATGCATGGGCCATGGGCTGGGCCTCCAAGACCAGAGTCGTTGGAGGCGCGAGCTAGTGGCTCTGGGCATTTCTTGGGGACGACTATCGCTACCCCGCGACCACCTGCTTTAGGCAGGAGGTTAGTCGATGGCATGCGACTGGGGCGCCACAGGTAATTGTTATCTTGGAACCAGCAAGCTCTTCTTGTCTCGCTGCTTGCCAGTGGTGGTTAGCAACTTGGCGAGGCTTGAGTAGCCCAGGACGCCTCGGCGATGCGGTGCGAAAAGAGCATCGTGCAGCACCTATCGCGCACGCGCCGAATGCCTTTCCGGGCACAACAGCCGCGGTGGCAATGCGTTTGCTGATGGACAGACGGTGGTGAAGGAGTCGATACGGTGCCCATCCCTGTGTCGGTGTGCGCGCCTTCCTTATCGGGCCTGAAGCTGTAGAGCACGACGTCGGACCCGTGATTCGCGTGCTCAAATTAAATGCACCACCACCCCATTCTCTTTGCTCGTCAGGGTCTCTCTTCTCCTCGCCGCACCCCATAAACAATCACCTGGCTGCTTTCCCAGTCACTCAACCACGGTCCACCTTCACTGTCAAACGGCCTAGGTGCACGCCCATCATGCCTGTTGGTGACGCCGGTGAAGTCGTGAGTACACTCTTCTCAAGCTCTATTGCATACTTGCTAACAACCCTTGCAGCAAGCTGTCGGCTTGGACCCCGCTCTTATTGACGCTTCTGGCGACCCCACGCGCAAGCACCCCGAGATGCACACAACCTCTGCGCCCGCCTACCTCCACTCCGAGGGCAAGGCCACGCTCCAGGACAGCTACCTCAACGAGGCTGATGACTTTCCCACCGACGAGGAGCTCGCCACGCTTCGCCGTGTGCCCGCTAGGATCCCATGGAAGATCTTCACCGTACGTGATCGCACTCACAGAGCACGTGAGACAAACACTGACTTGACTTCAGATCGCTTTCGTTGAGCTTGTCGAGCGTATGAGTTACTACGGAACTGTTGCTGTATACTCCAACTACATCGCTAAGCCGCTCACTACGCCCACTGGAGCCGCGCTCAACCCAGATGATGCTGAGGCTCAGCCCGGTGCCCTCAACATGGGCAAGCAGGTCGCTTTCAGTTTGACTACATTCAACGCCTTCTGGGTCTACGTCTGCCCGCTTCTCGGAGCCTGGATCGCCGACACCTACCTTGGTCGTTTCAAGACTATTCTGTACTCCGTCTTGGTCGCTGAAATCGGTCACTTGATCCTCGTCGCCTCAGCTGCGCCGTCTGTCTTGGAGAACTCCAACACTGCCCTCGGCGTTTTTATCCTCGGTCTCATCATCATGGGTCTTGGAACTGGAACTTTCAAGCCCAACATTGCCCCTCTTATCGCCGAACAAGTTCCTCAGGAGAAGATGCGCGTTGAGACACGCGGTACTGAGCGCGTCATTGTCGACCCCGCTGTCACGGTCACCCGTATCTACAACTGGTTCTACTTCTTCATCAACATCGGTGCTCTGGTCGGTCAAATCAGCATGGTTTACGCTGAGCGATACGTTGGTTTCTGGCTCGCGTACCTGATCCCCACCGTCATGTTCATCATCGCTCTCCCCGTCTTGATCTTCTGCAAGAAGTTCTACATCCTCCGTCCCCCGAGCGGTAACGTTATGGGCCCTGCTTTCAAGCTTCTCTTCAAGGCTCTTGGACGCGGAATGAGCATCAACCCCGTTAAGACTTGGAAAAACTGGAACGACGGCAACATGTGGACTGCTGTCAAGCCTTCCGTCCTTGGCTCCGCCGCACCCAAGTGGTACAACTTTGATGACGCCTGGGTTGATGAGGTTGCTCGTGGTTTCGCTGCCTGCTCCGTCTTCTTCTGGGTGCCTATCTTCTGGCTTGCATACCGCCAGATGGACTCCAACCTGACCCAGATGTGCGCCACCATGAAGCTCGGCGGCGTCCCCAACGACATTCTCTCCAACTTGGACCCCATCGCTATCATCATCATCGTAAGTACTGTCCAATGGTCTAACGCCCAGAACGAATGCTAATCGTACTACAGGTGCCTATCATGGACTCTCTCGTTTACCCCTTCCTCCGCAAGCGAGGTATCCGCTTCACTCCGATCAAGAAGATCACCGCTGGTTTCATCCTCGGAGCCTTCGCCATGGTCTGGGCAGCGGTTCTTCAACACTACATCTACAAGACCTCCGGCTACTACGAGACCAAGGACCCCGAGTACAAGACCGACATCACTGTCTGGGCTGTTACCGGTGTCTACGTCCTCATTGCCATCTCCGAGATCTTCGCCTCCGTCACCACTCTCGAGTACGCCTTTACCAAGGCTCCCAAGAACATGAGGTCGCTCGTTCAGTCCGTCCAGCTCTTCACCACCGCCTTCTCTGCCGCCCTCGCCCAGGCTTTCACTCCTCTTACCGCCGATCCCCACATCGTCTGGAACTACGGAAGTGTAGCCATCATCTCCTTCGTCACCGGTATCGCCTTCCACTTCGCCTACCGGAACATGGACAAGAACGAAGACCAGCTCAACCTGCTGCCCACCGGTCACCTCGGCACGGAGGGTCAGGCTGCTGACATCGAGAGGCGCCAGAGCGTCAACGAGGAGAGGCGCGCTAGCCTTGTCGCTCAAGAGAAGATGTAAGCGGTTCACATCGCGATGTGTTGATGCATGATGTTGTGATTCGCTTATCGAGTCACCGTTCAACGATATACCCCTCAAACCTATTGGTTACCGCGATTAGGACGCTAGTCATGTGTTATGTGCCGCTCGCTGGATGCGTCGGCTACTGGTCATGGCTAGTTTACTTACTTTAATGCCAAACTATCACTTCAAATAAATTGTTCCGCTGCGTACTCGTGATGTAAAACTGAATAGATGACAACTGAGTCGCCCACATCGCACTTGTCCACGACACTCTTGGCATTGATATGCAGTCCAATCAACCTTCTTGCATCTACCTGCCATACCATTCGAGTAAGAATTTTACTACATAAGGGAAGGGTTTATTTTCTCCAAAACGCTAAGGGTGTCAGTCATCGTTGCGACACACAGAGGAGTTGTCGCATCATTCTGAAACGCGTCCTAGCGCGTCGCCTTAAATTGCCTCTTAACACCCAGGTAGAGCCCTCGGACTCCTCTTACATCTACACAGCACTAGCCATCATCTTCCGATTCATATGGAATAGCCTTGACCACGACCGCAAAGTCTCAAATGTCGACTACTGAACTGCCAACTTCCCGCGGTGAAGCTTCCGCACATCTGGAAATGTACGCACTTTTAATATCTGACTTCTGCGTCACTGAAACTGACAGCACTTAGCTTCCGATTACAAGACCTTCCACTAGAGCTTCGCAATTATATCTACGAGTATGCGCTAGAGCCGAGGGTGACTCTCTGGCACAGTTGCTTGTACGACGAATACCGGCCGTCTACTTACCACTTGCCCAATCTCGAGCTGCATCCAGGTATGAAACATGCTAGATCGGCGTTCCTGATGTTGACGCAAGTACAGAAGATATGCAAGATGATGACGATCGATCCGACAGCTTCGAAGAAGATTTAGAAGGAGACAAGTACTTGGAGGATCCCAACTTGTCGATCGCGGGTAGCCCGCGTGATGATGGAAACACCGCCGTCTTGGCCTTCAAGATCTTGATAGCGACGCCTTTACTCGCTGTGTCTAAAGCTACCAATGAGGAAATGACGAAGGTACTAACCACCACCAAGAGATACTATGAGAGACTTCTGTTGTCGTCAATATATTTACACCGCATCACATCACCAAGCGCAGCTCTCATCGATTTATGGGCCAGCTGCGAGTTCTTCCTCCGGCACGACTACGGCAAGTCCATATTCTTCCTGAGAGATCTTCCAGACTCGCTGAAATCTTGCGTTCGCCGGCTGGTGCTCCCTTATGATTTCCTAAGTCTTATTGCATACTCGCGGTGGACCAAAGAGCAGTCAAGAGGTGGGGCCTTATTTACAAACTGGATCTCAGAAAATTTCCCCAACTTACGGACGGTGGCGATTGAGGTACCAGACGTGTGCGAAGTCATGGAAATGAATTGGAATGAGGCTTCGGACTATCTGTGCGAGATGCTCAAGAACGGCCGTTTGGACACCGTGAGATTCTATTACAAAGACTATGAGAAGGGCGAATGTGCACGTAGGGAAACAGATTCCCTCTTTTTTAGACACATAACGCTAGAGGGATGTGACTATGAAGGGACAGAAGAGGAAGATCGGTCATTACTGACTGGAGTTGAGGAACCCATATCCCCTACCTCACTGGCGTCTCAACTATGGCGCGACTTGCGGGCCTGCCGTGTTGTCAAGATCACGAGATCGCAGGCAACAGCCTAGTACAGCGGCTGCGATACATCTTAGCAAGGCTCCCGATCGTCTTGTTGGTCGTCAGCACACAGTTCAGGCGTTGGTCGTGGTCTCGACGAATTCAGGCGTAAAGTGGATCCTCGTTGTAGTAAAGACACAAAAGCATGCAGAGATTCAAAGTTTTAAAGTACGCGCAATTCTTGGAGCGGTGTGACCGTGTATGCTACTTGTGCAAAGACTCGCAAGGCTCGAGCGACGGAACAAGAAGAGGTCCGAGCGTTCGCGAGACGCGTCTCGGCGCGTCGCGCTAGTGCCATCCCCTCCTTCCGCGAGGCTGGGGCTCCTCTTCCGTTGTGTTCGCAAGCGCAATACCGAAGCCCGGTTTTACACACACCAACAGCCATGCGTGAAGAGACAGCGGAAGCATCGCGGTCTGGGCATGGTGATGCCGCCGTACGCATCGCGCTTCTAAAGCTAACAACATGCAGTTTTCGTCTACATGACCTACCGCAAGAACTTCGCGATATGATCTATGATTATTCGCTTGAGCCAAGAGCGATCTTTCGGCATACGAACCGCGAAGATCAACGGGAACAAAACCAGGGTTACGACCTGCCAGAGACGGATTCTAGCAAAGGTACGCAGACTCGGGTGTAACCACCACGTCAGGACTAACTCTCCCATAGAAGACCCGCAGATTATTCTCGATATGATGTACCAACCGGAAGTGGCTGATGAGGACCTACCAGTTCCAGACGAGCTTTACGATGAGTTTTGGCATGACCCTAATGGGCCCCCAGGCCTTTTCTCTGACAGCCAAGAAGTCATGCTTACGTACAAGATCTTCATGTCAACACCACTACTTCTCGTTTCCAAAGAAGTTAATAGAGAGGCGGGGAGAGTACTCAAAGCCAACAAACGGGGATGGATCAATTACTACAACGAAGTTGCGCGTTCCAACATACACTACCATCGGATCATCAAACCCTCCAAGGCTTTTCAGTACCTTTGGTCTCGTAGTCAAGTAGTTCTGGAGAACACTACCGAGGACACCTTGTTCTTCCTGCAGATCCTACCAGAGGTCTTGAAAAAGAGCCTCCATAGTTTGATCATCACCAAAAGCTTGATAAATATTGATGATGTGTTTTCGATAGCACTCTGGCAAACTGACGACGAAAATGGCGGATCGTTCATGTCAAACTTGATCAAAGGACACTATCCTAACCTGCGAACAATGGCCCTTGAGATACCAAGCACGGAGGAAGAGATGAGGAGCAATCTCTACAACGCTTCCCGGAGCTTATGCGATATGCTCAAGATGAAAGATCTAAATACCCTCAGGTACTTCTTCAGGGAGGCTTGCTTTTCTCAATCCGACGGCTGGTTTTTCCTAGATGTGGATCAAGAAGGGTTGGAATTTAGCGATGACACCGACGACTACGAGGTGGGAGACGACGAATACTCCGAGCGCTACAAACAACCACTGGATGGCGTCGAGCAACCTATTTCGCCTACTTCAATCGGATCTGCAGTATGGCGCGATCTCGGAATGGAGCGCGTCGTCAAGATCACGAGGTCGCAGACAGCAGCCTAGCGCTATAGGTACGACGTGTTCTAATCTGTGTATTTAATCGGACCTTGGTTGCAGTAATTCATCGCATCGCTCCGTCCTCCAGTCGTTCTCATTGCAACGGTTAGTCAGGAGTGTGCCTGTTGGCTGTGCCACGCTACTCACCTCGCTCGGCGCCCACTCACTACTAGCCAAACAAATGTGTAGGAAATGTTTGGAAATATTGTCGCAACGTCGCGGTACTGCTTACAAGCATAGATGCCTTATTGGTGGTATACGTTGCGAGAACCGTGGTCAAAGTGTGCAACCATGGTACCGAAAGTCTGCCGCCTTCAGGCATCAAGATCACGTTTTCAGTTCCAGTATATATATATTGCGCTTGGTTTCCCACTCTCATCTCATCTCTACAATTAACTTACTGTTTCCAATCATACTCTACAATTAAACTATTGCAGCAAATACCGAAACTCAGACATCATGACTCTTACCATGATTCAAACCCCAACCGAGTTCGAGGCGGATCAGCTCTACAACGCCATTCACTACTCAGATTTCGCCTATGACTACACAACGGCGGTTTCAGCCTATTTGAAAGACTTTCCTGCTCTCCCCTCCGTTCCGACCACCGAATACTCCTACGCACCAACCTCAATACCTACTTGGTGGCCAGACTTCACGCACAGTACACTTTTGTCAGACATGTCTTATCCAGTCTCACCAAGAGAGTTGAAATCTCTCATCGAAGCCGAATTACACCAAGGTCTCACGCAGTCAGCTATCCTCCAGCATTGGATGAAGAGATCTGGGAGCGAAATCCCGCTTGGCAGTGCCGCTGCAGCCGCAGCACTCCAAGACGCTATTATCGTGGCCTCTGATGCCGAGTGGTACGAGCACGATGACCATTTCATCACGGAACTCGGGATATCTGTTCTCGATCCGCGTTCCGTGCCACAACCATTTTCCTCATCACCATGGGGTATTCTCACCAGCATGGAGAACTACCACGTGCGCATCAAACCACACGCACATCTCACCAACAAAGACCTCTGCGAAGGGCATCCAAATGCCTTTCAATTCGGCAGCACAACCTTTGTCAGCGTGAACGAAGCGACAGAAATGCTGCGCAGCGTTTTCACCCGCCGAGACATATACGGCAATCTACGTCCAATAATCTTCGTCGGCCATGCCGTCTCGAATGACTACGAAGTCATAAAATCGCGCTTTGGTCTCGACCTTGAAGAACTCGGCACCATCGTCGCAACAATCGACACGCAAGTGCTGGCCGTAGAACACGGCCTCGTAAACCCATCCCGCAAGATCCGCCTCGCGCACCTCCTCGCCGAATACGACATCAAAGAACCATACCTTCACAACGCCGGCAACGACATCGTATGCACCATGATCGCCGCCTTCCTCATGCTTTGTCCACCCCCTGCAGCCCCGCTCAACAAACTCCATTACGTAGACATCAAAGCGCAACTCCGCGACGCGGGTCAAACCGCCATCAAAGAAGGCCGCGGATATGGCGTCACACGTTTTTGTGAGAAGTGTGATTCCCATCACCACACCGCACCATACTGCCGCGTGAGCGTCTGGCACTGTGAACACTGCGAAAAAGACCCTCTGACACGACATATGGCGTATACTCATAATTCGCAGAAATGCATTCATGTAGTCAAGCAGGCTGCGCTGATCAAGAAACAGGGCAGCATGGGCTATGGACAGGGTGGGTCGAAGCGCTCGAGTAGTCCTAATGCTGTGCCGTGTGAGTTTTGTATTGAGAGTACGGATCCGAGACGGTATTGTAATGAGAATGCCTATGGGCACAAGACGGGGGATTGTGCCTGGCGGAGATAGAAAATATGAGAAAATCAGATTAAAATATTTTTAGCTTGTGTTCTCCAATTCATGTGATATGTTGGTGTGTGTAGGGTGTCCAGGTTTGTGATGTTGCTCATTGCAGACTGTCTGTTGCGTATGGTTTCTGCGAGTTGAGGAAGGCGTGGATAGCTCATCGACGAATGGACTGTCATCGTCGATGCGCATGTATTGTTTAAGTAGATATCGGGTCGATCGAAAGTAGCTGTGCGCAGGTCCTGTTCTCGTCGCGAGACAGGTTTCGTTGGGTGGAAAGTTGCAGCGTGTCTGTCTTCCAAGGTTAGCGATGTCGCACAGCGTTGACGCGGTGACGTGAGAAGCGAACAAACATCCCTGCGTCCCTGCCTACGCGCCTTTCTTCAAATCTGACATGTACCTTCTGGATGTGACACCTCCCATCCCAATCACTTTTGCACACCTTCCGCTTTCCATTCAGCCTTGTTCTCTTACGTCTTCGACGCACTACCGCTGCTTGCCGACAAGCTCCAGCATCTCTACACGCTTGTGTTACCTCATCGACCTGTCTCAGCGTTCACAGTCATGTCTTACCGCGCCTTTCACGACATGCCCACCGAGCTTATCGAGGCCGCCGCAGGCTATATGGACGACGCAGACCTTCTGTCCTTTCGCTTGACATGTAGACATGCAGACGCGAAGACTCTACGCGTAGTCGGCAAGCGCTTCTTCTCCAGCCTCAAGACTACTCTGATGGCGTCCAATCTCGAGAAGCTCGACGGCGTCTCTCGAAGTGCGCGACTAGCCAAATACGTTCGGAACATCCGGATCGAAGACGACCAACTGGAGGTTGTATCATCTATGCCCTCGGGCGAAGGCAATTGTCTAGATCCACGGGAGCTAGCGATGTTGAGAGCGAGGCATCGCAGATGGCTGCGCGAAACAATGGTCGTCCCTGAGGTGGACAAGACCGCCGTTGCCAAATTGAAGGCCATAATCGAAGAACGCCTTTTGTCTCTGGATACCCTTGCTATTCACTACTCTGACACTAGAGATGTGGAGAAAGCTACGGAAGCTACCATCGCTCTCGCTCAAGAGATCGTTCTAGACGGGAAACTTGCCAGTACCGCATTCTCAGTCTACCTCAGTTCCCGAGGGCTTTCCTGGGTAGGAGCCGTCTTGACTCTGTACTTTGATCGATCCAGAGAAGGCTTGGATAACAGACTGCTTCAGGATGTGGGATTGCAGCTGTTGTCCGGTGGGCCTCCGCCGGACTACCTGCTTACCGCAGTTTCCGAGTGCACGCAAAGGTTGGGACATCTCCGAATGGAGTGCACAGGACCGCAATACGCCCTACTTGTCGGCCTCGTGTACCAAGGAAGGCGCCTGCCCAAGCGGACAATCCTGCGGTTTTCGTCGTCAAAGGCGTTTCGACAATTTTACAGGACATCCTGACGAGTGTTGGTCTTACACACGTCTCCGTGGTCTCCGTGTCACGACCGGAAGACTTCTTGCGCGAAGTGTTGGACGAATACCCACAATGGCAGACTTGGCAAGTAAGGATTGCTTTGACCCTGCGCGGATCGATGGGGGAACTGGACAACATGTTTCTTTCTACTACTTGGAGGGGCACTAGTATCCTAGTCGGCAACTTTTGTATCCTTTGAACTATACAGATCGTGGCACTGTATGCCAGAATCTACGCAGTAGAGTAGTACGATGGCGGCATGTATTTTGGTATTCACGAAGTCGCGCCTCAGACAACTAAGAGATCTCTGTCACTGTATCAGGCGCCTTAAATTCGAGCCCTTTTCCGTCTCAACCAATCGTGGACAGGTAGCGGGGGTTTGTACATGTCTCGACACGTATAGCGTGCCGTTGACAAAGTTCCATAGGTCCGAAACTCTTATCTATCAAAGCGACCATTCTCAACATACCGCTCTCACCAATCATCCCACCTAAACAACCCCCATAACCCCCTCCATCCACGGATAAACCGTGCCATTCGCCTCCGGATACCCCATATGCAGCCTCCCCTGCATAAACCGCATCTCCTTCGGACTCCCATACTCCGCCAGCAACATACTATCCTCAACAGGCATACACCCATCCAACACGCCATTCACTAGCAACAACCTACAACTGCTCACACCCATCCCTACAACAGCCACACCCTCGCCCTTCCCGCTCACGAGCGAGAACTCGTCTTGGCACTTCTCTTTCATCTCGTCAAAGGAGGAATAGCCGTATTTCTGGATATACGCTTCCTCGAGACCGAACGGGTATTCGTGTTTGGCGATTTGAGACAGCCATTCCGAACCGATGTAGTGGTGGGTGCCTGCGCCGTGGCCGACGCTGCCGAGGAGTTGGGTACGGTGCGTGTGCGCGAGGCGGATGGCGTAGTAGCCGCCGGCTGAGAGACCCCATGCGATGACCTTCTTCTCGTTCAGATACGGTGTTTCGCGGATCCAGTCTAGAATGCTGGTGAAGAGGCGGTCCGGGGAGAGCGGATCGCGCTTGTTGGCGGGACAGTCGACGGTTGTGCCGGGTATGTCGCAGATTACGGTTGCCCAGCCACGGTTTAGATGCTCTTGGGTGCGCTCCGTGTTGTCGGGGCGGTGGCCGTCTAGGCCGGTGATGAGGAGGACGGTGGGGAAGGGGCCGGAGCCGGTGGGTTTGCGGATGTAGAGAGGAATAGAAGTGCCGTCGCCGTTGGAGGCTTGTTTGTGGGGTATTACGACTTCTTCGAGGGGGATGTCCCATAGTTGTGCGCCGCGGAAGTAGACTTCCTTTTGCTCTTCGAAGACCTTCTTCTTGAGCTCGGTGCCGATGTAGGGGAATCGAGCGAGTCTGTATACGGCGTTTGCGTTTAGGTAGAGCTTCTTCGCTGCCTCTTTGTCCTTGCTTTCCAACTCTTTGGCTTCCTTCGCTAGGCGTTGCGCTGTTGGCAAGAAGGCGTTGGTGTATGCATCGTCGTAAGGGTCGTTGATGTTGTTGTCGATGAGGTGTTTGAAGATTGGTTCGAAATCTTCAAACTTGCCATCGTGGAAAGGGTAAACGCCTTTGGTGCAGGGAAACTTCCAACGTTGTTCCCAGAGTTTCTGAATACTGCCGCGATGTCCGTATTCCTTGGTGAAGAGGTCTCCGAGGATCCAATTTCCGTTAGGCATGATGCAAATCTTTTGATCGAAGGAATGTGCAAGGGTATAGTTTAGACAGACTGCCAGCTGTTTGCATGTCGTCGTTGCGCATACAAGCGTTGTATATACATGGACGTTTCGGGATCGGCGGGGCCGGCTCGCCAGTTGTTTCAGGCCCGTCCGGACGGACCCCCGCAAAATGAACTACGGCTTCCCGTAGTCTGCATCAACCAAACGTACGTTAAAACTTCCGATGAAGCTGACGTTGATCTACATGGATGGTGCGACAAAGTGGCAAGACCCTGAATGCAGGCACGCGGATATGCATTATTGCCCGGGAAACTCTTCTGCCTCTTCCTCCTCTGCTTTACGCTTCACGTACTCTCTGAGAACATGCACAAGTCTCATCCTACCGTCTTGCCTCTCAAACACCTGTGCGTGGTCTACAGTAGGCCACCAAATCGTCTCTGTGCCGTGGCCTCTCCACTCGGAGTCCTTCCAGGTTCTGTCCTCGCCCTTGAGGTCAGCACCATTGAGGTACTTCCCGATGGTCTCGGTGTCAACTATCAGATCCCTGCCTCCGAGGCTGACAGTTACATCGCGGTCTTTGAGGTCCTCCTTCCACAGTATGTTTTGTGCCCAGAAGAACTGGCGCGCCAGGGTTTGCGCAACCATCATGTCGGTAGAAGCGAAGTAATAGAGCTGGTGCTCGTTCGCGCCTTTCGGTCGACGCGCGGTAAAGTTGTACGCCACGTCGGGAAGATGTAACAGGAATGTAACAGGGTCGATGAAGACCATCGGGCCGATTTTGGCAGTGGTGATGGGGTCCCGAAGAAGGTGGGTAGAGATGACGGAGCCGTAAGAGTGACTTGCGAGTACAACTTTGTCGAAAGCATGGCGTTCCAGAATCATGTTGATCTGGCGACAAATGTCGTCTTTATCGGGAATCGCCCCAGTGATGCGGAAGCTGACAGGCATGATTTCCACAGCAATAATACCGACCTGACCATCTTGTGCCGCAAGCGGATCGTGCTTGTTTATCTCGTTCAAGAACTCGACGTATGGGTGCAGGCCGATGCCGATGCCGTGTACGAAGAGAACGGGTAGTCGCGTCTTCGAGGTGTGTGGTCGGTACCAGTAACTCAGATCAGGCGCGGATGAGATGTTGCGCGTAGTGAAATTGGCGAGTCGCAGTGGGAAGATGGCCAGCGAGGAGCGAAGGTGGGTGCGAAACAACATAAAGCCGTAGTAGCGCAGACGAGCGGCGGTGAGGGTATCGACCAGCATGACGATCTGTCGCCATCAGTATCACATATAATCTCAAGACCAGCAGACATACCATATACCACAGAAACGGCCGATGCGCCATGTTGACTTGGTCGATAGTCAGGCGCAAGCTCTTTGCGCTGCCCATGCCAGGCGCCAGCTTCCTCCCTAGCATCGTCTCTATGCCATCCGCATACTCGTTGAGCTCGTCGTCCTCAGCATTGGTTTCTTCCGGGTGCGCCTGCCGCCTCTTCCTCCGCTCCTCATCGCTCTCGGTGCCGCGGTTCAGCAGCGCCCACGCAAAGAACTCGCGCACATTCTCGCGTCGTATTTCGCCCGGTCTCGCGCCCAGAAACCACCTGCTGACGTAGTACTCGGGGTGCGGGATCTTATCCCAGCATCGCCAGAAGAGCTCCTTCCTCTCCTCCTTCTCGAGGGGCGGCGGGTGTTGCGCGGAGGCTTGAAGCGCGCGCTTGCGGGGCAGGTAGACGAGCAGCCAGAAGGCGGTCTCGATGATGCTCCACGTGAGGAGGAAGCGACGGAAGGCCGAGTGCGGGGGCTCTGCGATGCTGAAAGAGACCCAGAAGATGCTGAAAGGCGTGATGGCGCGGAATCCCAGGATGCACGTCCTGATGAGCAGGTACTTGGGGAGGGTGTTTTCGATCATGGCGGTAGTGCGACAGGATATTAGGTATCAGGAAGTCAACCGCACCCCATCAAAAGGCATGGCGGGGGTATTATCGTTATCATGGTCGAAGTTGTTGACGGCTACACGGCAGGGTTGCTGCTTACAGCCCGCCGATGACGCAGCTGCCTGCTGCTTTCTTTGGCTTAGTCAGCAGCGCATCACACTTCTCGCAACCAACACCGTATTCGGCAGAGTGTACATTCATCCTATATTGTCCGCATCTATGCTAGACCCAGGGTATCTTCAAGGCGTTTTCAGCCGTCATCTGAACTTCCAAAAGCAACTAGTCACCTCCCGGCCTGTTCAAAGCGCCGCCAGTCTAACGCCGAAACACCTGTGCAGTCCTTCTGCCATCTCAACCTTGGTTGTATCCTCCCTGTCCTCCACGTGGAGGGTATCCACCACGACCGCGACCAAACGAAACGTTGCCATAGCCGCCTTGGCCGAGATGCCCGCCAAACCCCCTGACAGAAGGGTGTCCTCCAGGGCCTGGCGGGGCGAAGCCATGTCCACCAGGGGAGTCGAAGTACTGTCGGAGACTGTCATAGTTCATGGTAGAACCAGATGGACGAGTGGTACCACGACGTGACATGGGACGACCCCAGTTGGAGTAGAGCCCCCCACGATGCGGATTCTTGGTCTTTGGTTTCTTGAGGGCCCGAGCGATAGCGTCCTTCTCACGCCGAATGAGCGCTTTCTTGTTGGCTACACAGATGCAATGCTCGGTGACGTGTTCCTTTCCTGGCTCGATATTGCAATTGTTCTCCTCGCACTCATCACAATGAAGGTCTGTAGCTGTGCAATCTGGCTTCATGTGGCCGATAGTGCCGCACTTGAAGCAGTACTTCTCAACGCCACCGAGGCTATCATCGAAGTTCGCCACACTATGGCGCTCCAGATCTTCGGCCACTTGCTCCATGCTCTTGTGTGCGAACTTCTTGCACTTGTGTCCACCCAAAACGATTTGGAATGCGGAGATCAACGTACGAGCGGCGTCGTTTGCCGCCGTGTGGGAATCACGATGCTCGAAGGAGAGCTCTTCGACCATACGCCTGAGACCAACCTGCTCGTTCCTCGGCATCATCCAGTAACCTTTGTCACGAACCAGGAGCTGGGTGTCGATGTAGCGGACCACGGTACCGATTGGCTCCATGTCGAAAGCAATAGCCTTGGACTTGAGGTTGTTCAGATCGTGTCCGACGTCGTGGCCGAGAACGACGATGGGGAAGTTACCCTTGAGGTCGGGGAAGTAACCCTTGAGGCGGGGGACGTCACTGATGGGTTGGACAAAGAGGTCGGTCAGGATCTGACGCGCCTCGGCGAAGGTGACGAACCGGCCTCGGCCGAAGCGGTTGCCTTCG